ACCTCAGTTTTGAGTCCCAGCTGTTACTTAATAACAGCTGTGGGCCCTTCAGCAACTGGTTGGAACATACCACTTCTCCTTCCCTAAATTTAGCCTTCTCAAGCCCGAACAATTTTGAGGAAAGGTCTAGATCAGCCGTTCTTTACTCACTCTTCCAACCTTTCCACCATATGTCAGCTGACTTCTCCCTCTGACCGTGTGCTGCCTTCTCTTCCATTTAATGAGCTACCTTTCCCCATTAGAAAGCAAGTTCCATGAGGGCAGGGGTTGTCTTTCTTTCTGCTTATATTTGCATCCTCAGTTCTTAGCATAGTTTCTGACACACAGTAAGCTTTTAATAAGTGTTTGTTTTGGACTGGATAATCTTTTAAAATTTCTTCTCATTCTAAAAATCCCATTTCCAAGTTTGTGTTGTAGAAGTGTAGAAGTAAACACTTACAAATCATCAACGATCCCCAGAGGCTAGCACTCTTTCCCCATCCCTTTACCCTGAGAGCTTGACTTGGAAGGCAGTATACCAGGATGGGAAACTTGCCTGACACTGCCTAGTATTCTAACTACTCACTGCGCTTCTGGGGCTTCATCTAATTGACAAGATGTTGATAAAAACACCACCTGGGTTATTGTAAGATTCATTAGTTATCTCATTAGATAATATATGTTGTACTTTGGAAACCCACATAAATGTCAATTATTATAACCAAGGGGTGCTCTTTGTCTTCCTAGGAGCTTGTCTGTGGACTTGCTTTAGGAGTGTTTGTTGAAATGAATTGAATCAGGGGCAGCTAGGTGTTAGGCCCTGGAGTCAGGAGGACCTGAGTTCAAATCCCAGCCTCAGACACTGATACTTACTAGCTTTGTGACCCTGGCACAAGTCACTTAGCCCCATTGCCTAGCCAAAAAAAAAAAAATGAATAGAATCATTTGGTCCTGAATTCATATGCCCTTCAAAATATGAATAATTGACTGCATTAAAGCTAAATTTAGCAGTTTCGTAGCCTTCTTCATGTTGTTTATTAAAAAAAAAAAGAAAGCATAGCTTGGTAGAATGCTAGTTTTCTCACATGAGACTTATATACAGACATAGGCTAGCCATCCAGTTCAATTCCTTAATTTTACAAAGGAGAAAAATAAAACCCAAGGAGGTTAAATGTTTTGCCCATGGTCACAGATATAAACATCAGAGGCATGATTTGAAACCTTTGCTTCCAAAATCAGAACTTTCTCCCTCTAACACATTTCATCTAAAAGCAAGTGTGTTAATGTACACAAATATTCAAATGCTCTATTAGTTATTTATTATCAATGAACAAGCATTTATTAAGCACCTACTACATGCTGGACACTGTACTAAGCAATCAGGGATACAAAGACAGGCAAACCCCAAAGAACAAATAAGTCTTTGACTTCAGGGTGGAGGTCTTCTGATGGTGAAGACCATGTAAACAGCTTAGTACATACCAGATATATACATTGAGAAATGGGAGGTGATCTCAGAGGGAAGAAACAAGCAGTGTGTGTGTGGGGGGAACAAATTGGAAAAGGTCCTCAACAGGTGAGCTTTTGAGCTGGAAATCCTGAAAGCAAGCCAATAGAGCCAGGAAGTGGAGGTGGGAGAGGGAGTAAATAATATTTAAAGACCTATTTTTATGTCTCTTTTCATGAGAAAGTTGGATTTAAATTTATTGATTTTAGCTAAGGGCAATGTTTAACCAGTTTCATTGTATACAAAAGAAAAGTTACGTTTCTAACAGTAAACTTTGCTTAAGGAGTATCATATATTATACCTAATAAGTAAATAATGCTTAATAATGTGGTCTAAAACTGAAACCAAATATAATCAGCAGCAAAGTTTGTTGCTCGGCAATTTTAACCTTGTGTAAGAGAAACAACCTCCTAGGAGCACTTCATTTTGTTTCCTTTTACAATAACTACAGCCTTATTTTTTTGTACCTGGAACTAGCTTAGTGTTTCCTTATCTTCCCTAACCCCTCCCCCGCTGGGATCACTCATTTCTCCAGGCGACGCAAATCCATTTACAAGAGAAGAGGATAGATCTACAGAAGGAAGGACACAGCAACCCGGGCTTCCCCCGGCATTATCTTATAAAACCTCTCCAAAAAGTCCCTCGCTTGGCAACCAAAGGCCACATGTTTGGTACGGTGGCAATGATCCCTGAGCATACATACTATATAATCCTGCGCTTTCTCTCACAAGCTGTTCAATTCCAATTAATCAATCAACAGGCAAGTCAGTGCTTAAAGGTGACAGGCACAGAGCTAAAAGGCTGGAAATACACAGAAAGGCAAAAAACCTTCCATTACCTTCAGAAAGTTAACCAGTCTTTCCCGATAAGAAGGGGAAGGTGGGGCTTAACTCCCTCTCCCCCACCCCCTCCCCTTATTTCTTTTCCACTTTCACTTCTCCCAGGAATACGACCAAGAGATTGCTTTAGATATAAGATACATAAAAATAAATTATGAATCAGTCCCTACCTAGGAGCCTTGGAGTGATTCCTAGCCTTGCTAGGAGCAGCAGCTGACAGTGACGTCTTACGAAACCAAATTCCCTACAACGCCGTGAATTTCACTGCCCCTGGCTGCTTAGACTCACCTCCATCAGCTTCTTTTCTAAGTGAAATTCTGACACCGTCCATAAAACACACCAGGCATGGTGTGTTTTTAGGGGCCGGCAGATATGGTGCTACTTTGTGTCTGCTTTAAGAAAGGAACAAAGTTTCAAATAACAATCAAGTGTCCCTGTGATACTACACCAAAAACAGGAAGACCTGTGGTTAAAACAAAGAGATGTGTGTGCCAGAGTGTGTGTGTGTGTGTGTGTGTGTGTGTGTGTGTGTGTGTGTGTGTGTGTGTGTGTGTGTGTGTGTGTGTGTTAGAGAGAGAGAGAGAGGGAGGCGGGGGGACAGTGACAGACACTTGGGAGGGGAGGGAAAGGGAGGAGAAAGGAGAGACATAAAGGGAGAGGGGGAGTCACACGGAGATATAGACATCCGCACGGGGGTAATATGGGACAACCTACCAATCAATCAATAAACATTTATTCAGTGCTTAGTATGTGCAAACATGAAAACAGCAGTGTGATTCCTATAACTCACTAAGACTTTTCATTGCATACATGGGAGTTTTGGAAAGGTAATCAGTGCTTAGAAGGAAGACTTTAAGTCTGTTTTCTGCCTTTCAAAGCCTGGAATTATTTGGAACTTTGGCCAAATAAGAAACCGAGAATGCTCAATACTGTCGGAAGACAGGAGTCTGCAAAGAACTTCTTAAAAAATTATTCTTTCTTGTTATCTTGAGCCGTCCCAGAAGTAAATGTTTCCAAAGTGTTCCGTCAAGTACATTTTTGTCTTTAAATCCAAATATTTAGCACCCTTACCTCACCTGCTGAATGTGATGATCTGAATAAATGATTGGAGTAGATGTTCCACATCTTAACTCAGATTGAAGGACGTAGGTATTAGACGAGGCTTTAGATTAGTCATTGGAAGCCGACTCATCATGGGGAAGAGGAAGTGTTGAAATAAAGATATTTGTTGCTTTTACTGTCTGGGAACTTTTAGAGAGGCAATGGGTGGAGTGGATAAAGGGCTGGTTTTGGAGCCAGAAGACATGTGTTCAAATTCTTAGACACAAGGAACCAACCATTGGACCTTGGCTAAGTCACTCAAACTCTTCAGTGTAGCAGGGAAAAATTTAAACACAAGGTAACCAAGGTATTGCTGTTTATATAGGGCTTTAAGGTTTACAAAGTACTTTGCATATCTATTGGCTCACTTGATTCCTAAAACAATTCAGGGAATACAGTAAGTGTCATTTATTACGCCTATTTTTCCAGAAGAGAAATTGTGGCTAAGAAAGGAAAAAAGATTAGATCTGCATCTAGCTAGTGAGACCTTGGGCACTTTACCTCGAAGCCTCAGCTCCTCATTTATAAAGTTGGGAACCTAAAACCTCGCTCGAGGCCACATGTGGCCTTCTAGGTCCTAGGGATCAGCCTTTTGACAGAGTCCAAATTTTACAAAACAAATCCTTTAATTAAGGGTTTTTTTTCCCTGAGATGTTTAGATTCAGTCAAAGGGCCACACTTGAGGACCTAGAGGGCCACATGTGGCCTTGAGGTAGGTTCCCCACCCCTGGACTAGATGGTTGTCTTCCAAGATTCCTTCTAGACCTAAATCTGTGATTCTATGATCAACAGAGGGAGTCTGTACACCTTGAGCCTATAAATTCATGAAATCATAGAGCCTCACAGAAACAATCTTTTTGGAGATATGCAAAAGAAATGTCAGTCTCTGAAGACAAGTCCAAAATAAGAGTTTCAAAAAGGCCTTGATTAATGGCAATATCAATAATATGACTAAATAAATGAGGCCTTCCCAACAGTGACCAAGGCACAAGCCCTGCTGTTCCTTAAAAACAATGAATGTTATGATTATAAAGTAATGAGAAACGTTTTCTTGTGTGACTGGTAACCAGGCTTATAAAAGCAACTGTGAAGAGTTGAAAAAAAATTATTTTTTTCTGGGCAATAGCAACATATTGGAAGAAGTACAGAGTTTCCCAATTTGACTGACTCCTTTGGACCAAACACACAGGTGGAATTTTAAGTTCACATTTGTTGAAAACGTTAATCTTATTACTTTATAATCACATCTCATGAAAAGAAAGTAACTCTGGGAACTCTAAATGCCTTGAAAAGTACCACCATTAAATTTGACCTGTGCAGTTTATTACATCTCTCCAAGGATTTTCCTTCTAGTTACTTCAGTTATATATCATATTTAAACCTCTAGATCATATACCTACAGTCATATAACATATACACATATGAACATATAAAATCATGCTTAGGATATCTTGGGAACTGACTTTTCCTCCTTATGTTTTTTTTTTTTAAGGCTCATTCATAAATTATTCTGATTACTAAAGCAATACAGAAATCAGTCTGGTCTGCATGCAGAATTAAGAAATCACACCTACCAGAGATCCGATTGAGTGTCACCCAGAAATGCTCATCAGGGCTGTAGGTGTCCTTAGACCATAGGAGTAAATCAATGGCCCGATGGTCTTGAAAAACGAAGTTGACAAACTCCCTTGTGAGGGCAACATAAGCTGAGCCGAAGTAAATTACTAATTGATGGGGCGGCAAGGATTTTAAAATTTTGGTTCTTTGCATATATGATGTTTGAGGGGTAATATATTCCTTGAAGACATATTTAGTCCTTTCAATAGCATGTGCAGGAGGCAGCACCCCTGGGGTGATATTTTTCCCTTTAAATCCTTTCAAATGCTGGATTATTTCCTTATTGGTTTTCAGAGGGAAATCTTGCCCACAAGTGTTAATAATGTACTTCCACTGAACCTCAGAGGCTACAAGGTCTTTCATGCAGTTCAGGTCAGCCTGGAGCCTGGATATTCCGCCATAAACAACAGGCTCCAACTTGGAGGCAAGGAAAACATTGGGGAAGCAGCCCACCAACCACTCCACAGCGCCTTTAAACTCATCTGTAGTCTTCTCATCCACGTGAACACAGTAAACATTTTGGGGCATGTAAACCGCCCTGAAGAGCCTCTCAAAGGTTTCAAAATCCTTATGAATAACCATTACATAGGCCAAAGGAAACTGGGCTTCTTCTTTCGACAGGGGAGCTGTTATGTAGTGACTATGGTGCAAGTACTCCTTACAAGAGACTCTTCCAAATGAAGGCATTAATACTTTCTCCCACACAAATGTTGACTTCCCTTCTATGACGGTATTACAGGACTGGGATAGAGAATATCGCTCATTAGACACATTTAACCTCTGATAACTCTTTGGTTGATAGAGTTGATGGTTGTATAGCAGGACGAAGAGGGCCACGCTCAGCACGGGAACGACAAAAAGATAGTATCTCCCAAAGTTCATTCTTTTTATTCCTGGAGGGGGGGAAAGAATCCGTCTTCAGGGACTGAGAAATAATCGGCTCCTGAAACCGTAAGTCACCCAGCCTCCAACTTACTTTTTCTGGAAGATCTTGCATCTGGACAGCTTCTCAGCTGTGTCTGCTTGTCCAGCCTCCAAAGATGACATGTGGTTTAATTAAGATTTGCTCTTTAATTCTCTCTCCAATCCATACCCCCAGTTTAGGCATCGGATAGCAAAGCTTTTCTCTCTTGACGTGCGGTGTGTGCTCAGTGCATTCAGAGTGTGGTAACTCGGCAGCAAGTAACGAGCCAAGCTCAGCCCAGCCCAGCCCCGTCCCGCCCAGCCCAGCCCTCTCTTAGCTCTTGATTTGCATATGAAAGCGTAGGGGGTAGATCTTAGCAAATCACTTCAGGGTCGGGTAGGATTGCAGACCTTTTTCGGTAGGAGCTTTTGTTTCTGTAGCTTCAGTGTTACCGCCTCCTCCCATTCACCAAGCTATTTATTCGGCTTTCTTGGATCCTCCTACCCTTGTCCCACCCACTTAGCTCTTCCAGCTTAACACCTCTTTCTTTCAGCACCTGCAAAAGTGCAAAAGTTGCGGCAACCGTTTCATAAATTCAGTCAGCAAGCTGGTTCCTCTTTCTCTTTCTGACTCCTAAGCCACTTCTTACTTATTTAAATGGTGTCTTTGCCTTCTGGGTACTATCGTAGGTGGGCAGGGAAAATGCACCTGCGCTCTGGATAGTCACAGTAACCTCATGCAAACAGTCTTTTTCGTGGAAGTGTTTGTTCACTGAACAGAATCTCAGGGGGCCATATGGTCTCTGACTTTTAGTAGAAGACATGGTGGGAAGGTAGGCTTGGAAATGCATCCTTTGCTGGCATGGGGAAAATCCAGTGGTCAGAGGGGTTTTTGGTTTTTGTTTTGGAACCTAGTGTTTTTATTGGGAATTTCTAGCAACAAACATTAAGAAATGTGATTCACGGAGCACAGATTAGCTCGTGTTACATTTATTAAGCACCCATGTGCCAGGTACTATGCTAAGCACTGGAATATAAAGTGTGGAGATGATTACTCCAGAGGCTACTACTTAACTGTGGACAAGTTATGGGAGAAGGGCTTTTGAAAATCAGAGATTTGGCAATCTCTGATGTTTTTATGCTTTTAAAATTTACTATAAGAATCTTGTACCTAATGTCTTAGAATTCACATACTTCTCTTTCTCCCTGCTGTCCCTTCCTTTCCTTCAAAGAAGTACAAAAGGCCCATAGTAACAGGAAAGAAGACCTAGCAGACTTTCTGGTAACAAAGGGATCTAAAGCTTTCTTGCTGCTATATAAAATCCTTTTATTTTGTCCTAAAAACATTTCTATAGCGAAGTGCCATAGTGGACCTGAAGTCAGGATGATCTGAGTTTGAAGCCTGCCTCGGATATTTAGTCCTAGCTGTGTGATGCTAGGGAGGTCACAGTCTGCTTCATCTGAAAAATGGGAATGAATAATAGCACCTACTTCTCCAGGTTGTTGTGAGATAACATGAGATGAGTTAACAAATGTAAAAGTACTTTGCAAACCTCAACGTGTGACATGAAAGCTATTACTGTTAATTGAACAGAACTATCCTTATCTGTGATCCTATAATCTTGTATGGAGGCAGCTAAGTGGCTTAGTGGATTGAGTGGCTTGGCCCAGAGTCAGGAAGACCTATACCTATCTTCTCGAGTTCAAATCTGACTTTAGACGCTTACTAGCTGTGGGACCCTAGGCAAGTCACTTAAGCCTGTTTGCCTCAATTTCTTCCTCTGTAAAATGAGTTAGAGAAGGAAATGGCAAATCACTCCAGTATCTTTACCAAGAAAACCCCAAATGAGGTCACAAAGAGTTGGAAATGACTGAAAAATGACTGAACAGGAAAAAAAAATCTTGTATTCCTTCTGCATATGAGTTCTTCCTTACAGTGGTACATTCAGTAAGTGCCTATAATATTCAGGCAGTCCTTACTATAAGCAGGGTTTCTCAGTCTTTTTTATGTCATGTAGCCCTTTGGCAGACCTGGTGAAGCCTATGAAGCCCTTCTCAGAATATTTTTAAATTGCAGAAAATAAAATACATATGATTAGGGTTACAAAGAAAATCAGTTATATTGATTTTTATATTTTCAATTATATTGAAATTCAGTTATCAAAATATTAAGTAGTGAGTATCAAATTAAATATAAAAATAGTTTTAAAAACAAGTTGGTGGACTACAGGTGAAGAACCTTTGAAAGGGGATCTTCAACCTTCTATACTTATTGTGGCTCCATCCTTCATTTTCATTGGGTTTTTAGATTTTCAAAGCTTCTGGCTTATTTTGCTTCATTTGATCCTCTCAACAATTCTGTGATGTAGGTGGGACAGGTTTTGTTATACCTGTTTCATGGCAGAAGAATATGAGAGGTTAAAAAAATAGCCTGGATGGGACTTGAAGGGACTTTAGAGATCATTTAGCCCAACCCCCTCCTTTTGCTAATGAAAGGTTGAGGCCCAGAAAGGTCAGGCTACAGAGAATGAACTAGGACCCCTGAAAGTGACCCTAAGAGCTCATCAGTTCCAAATCCCTTGTTATTAGAAGGAATTGAAGCCCCTTGAGGCGGCTGATTTGCCAAAGGTTCTACTGAACCAATTGGTGTTAGAATTGGGACTAGAATAAAAGTCTTTTGATTGCTTATGCAATTGATATTTTGAAATTGAGGACAGAACTTTACGTGGGGTGGGGGGAGAAGAGTGGACAGAAGGAGTTGCTGATAAGATCTGCAGCTTCGTCACTGAATGGAACTACCTGATGTAGAATTCCCCTCAAACCAAGCTGCTCCAACCCACCTCCCTTCCTATGCTTGCTTCCTCCCACCCTTTCCTCACTCAGTTCCTCCTCTAAGTACCTCTCCTTTTTGTTTATTTAGTATTAGCATCTATAAAGAGCAGCTAGTGGTGAAGTGGATTGCGTAGGGGGCCTAGAGTTAGGAAAATTCATCTTCTGAATTCAAATCTGGCCTCAGACACTTATTAGCTCCGTGATCCTAGGTAAGTCACTTAACCCTGTTTGCCTCAGTTTCTTCCTTTGTAAAATGAGCTGGAGAAAAAAATGGGAAACCACTCCAGTATCTTTGCCAAGAAAACCCCCAATGGGGTCAGGAAAAGTTGGGCGCTAATGAAAATGGCCAAACAACAACAAAGTAAAACAACAAGAAAAAGGTCACTCTAACCTTAGAAAGCTGCTTGGGGCAATGAGAGTTTAAAACTGGTCCAGTGATACAGACAGGATTTGAACCCAGGTCTTCCTGATCCTAAGGCCAACTCACTAACTATTAATACCATGCAGCTCTCAATCTTACTATTGATAAAAGAGGTGAAGAAGAGAAGAAAATGCAGATCTAGCTCCCACTCCACAGGACATTATCATTCTAATGTCTTCTCTGGTTCCCAGGCAACAGAACATACAACCAAATCTAATCAGTATTGATTTGGCAGACAAAGCCTCAAGTTCTATTTGAAAAGTGCCCTGGTCTTTCTCCTGTTGTACCAGGAGAGCCTGGTCACCAGCAGAGCTGTACCACAAAATTTCCTGTCAAAATTCGGGGGCAGGGGGGATCCTTTCCTTTCCTGAAGCCTTTAAAGCGTGTTGGTTTCTTCCCTTTTCTTCCTTCTTCTTCTTGCTCCTCAGAATCAGCTCAGAGTGGATTTTTGGTGAAGAAAGAATTGAGCAGTCTGCCCTGCCTCCTGCTTTCACTTCTCTTTTCCTGCCTCACAGACATTCTCTTCACTTACTGCCATTTTAGAGAGATTGTACCATGGCAAAAGAAATATAGGAAGGAGGAAGGAAGAAGAGACTGCACTCTCAGTGCAGACCCAGTCTGTATTTTTCTTTTGTTTGCTTTAAACTGTGCTTCTACAGTAGGGAATCTTGGTGATTTGCCAATGAGAATGCCCAACAAACCATTTAAATGTGAGTGATTCAGTCAAAGTAGATTGTAAATAGGATATTTTGCAGCATTCTTTGTAGACTTTAAGATTTACAGCACCAATACAAGAAAAAAACATACATATACATACATACATACATATATATTTTTTTAATCTAGCTGGGCCTTTAAAATTATTTTGATGAGCAGCAGCAGAACATTTTCGATGATAGAATCATGATGATGTGATGCTTTTTAAGCAGATGGCAGAACCGTGGAATGTTTGGCCAGTATCCATGGTAACCAGGATCGAATGGGCATTTTCTTCCATCAAATGAAAAAGTAGGTTAAGTTTTTAATTTCCTACTAGAGCTTTAGTTGATGTTAGTGGCTCAATTGTATTTTGAGGACCAACATACTAAATAATGGACACCACGTGGCCATTTTTTCTGGCCACACTCTGACCATCCTTGTCCTATTGCAAATTTAAAAGTAGCTCATCACTCAAAGGACCAGGAATGAGGTAAGAATAAAATCTCAGAATACTTAAAGTTAAAAATTTAAAGTTGGTCCAGCAGGATCCTAAAGAGAACTGCACACATATATTGTTTCCTGTCTTCTTTTCATAATGACTTGGTATTCATTCAAATGTGGGAAAACCATCATAATCCCACTCTATGTGTTGGGATGCAAATGTGGCTAAAGGGACTTGTTATTAGGCAAAAAGTGATAGGCAGTGCTTTTTACTCTTATTGTCAGCACACTATTTATTGTGAGAGCCTCCTAAAAGGTAGGTTTTTCTGCCTCTGTTCTCTCTCCTTCCAATCCATCCTTCACAACATTCATGTTATTTGTATGTAGATCTGGGTGTGTTCCTGTAAAGGTCAAAAACCTTTTAAAGACTCTATAATGCTGATAATATTAAGTTCACATTTCTTTGCCCTCTATAAGGGATCAGGGCCCTCTACAATCTGACACCATTTTGGTTACACAGAAGATAAAACTGAGGCTCAGGAAGTTTAAGAGACCTGGCCAGGGTCAGCATTAGGATTTGAACTCAGGTCCTTACATTCCAGAACCAAGGCTCTTTCTATTGCCTCACACTGGGAGTTTCTGCCCTGTACTTTCTATATTTTGAATTCCTACCTAGTTTTAAAATTCCAACCCAAACTCCTTCAGGAAGTTTCTTGATTCTTTCAGATAGTAATAAGGTCTTGGGTAATCTTTTGTCTCAACTATTACCTAGCCCTTAGTCACTGATTGAGTGTGGCCTCAGACAAACTGAGACCCTCAAAAGACCTTAATTTAGAAATGCCAAGTTGACCCACTGTATCCTGGGCCAACACCAGTCATCTTGATCTTCTTA